TTCCCGAAAGCTATGTTGATCACGAAGCCCCCGGGATCTCTCTCTTTCCTTGGCAAGTCGTTATGCAAGATACTCGCCGCCTCGCATACCACTACCTCATCGGCACTCTCTAACCGCTTCTTAGTCTTTGAAAATTCCTTGAAATGCCTCGCGTAAGCTGGTATCATCCTGAACACATCAGAAGGGGATAGATCGTCATTTACCTTCTTAAACATCTCGTAAAGGTCCCGCATCAGCTGACTGTCCTTCTCTTCCAAGAGTCGGCATGGGTAACGAAACCTTGGCCTATATGGATTTGGGGACTTATGCAAAGTTGGCTCGGTAGACGGTGTCGCTGGGGACTTTTCTGTTTGCTCTAACTTCCTTTCGCCTATGACATCCTCCTCAGTGTCGGGCAAAATAACTGTCACCGAATTCACATGCTCTGGCTGACTAGGCAACTTCCTCTTGTTCATTTTAGTCTCGAGGACTCTAACCCGTGTAGCCATTTGGCCCAACTGTGTCTCAATACGTTTGATGGAGGCTTCCTGATTGACACTTCGCTGCTCATTGTTGGCCATAAATTGGAGGATTTTGGAAATGTCGTCTTGGAGAGTTGAACTCGGCTCTGCTCCCGGTGTTTGCATCCCGGCATCTGGTCCCCTCTGTTGCTGTTGTGGTTGGTAGTTCGGACGGGGCACAAAAGTGGGCCGAGGTTGCTGCTGCATGAAGTTCGGACGTGGCGGCTGAAGGGTGTTCGAGTTGTTCGACCATGAGAATGCGGGGTGATTCCGCCATCCGGGGTTGTACGTGTTCGAATATGGGTCATTGTATGGCCGGTTCTGGTATCCCTGTAAGGCACTAGCATCCGCATACTGCTCTCCAGAATCTTGCTCGAATGATGAGGGGCATACCTCGAACCTATGTCCTGGGACTCCGCACGCCCCACATGTATCAACAACAAATGTATTAATCGGTTGGGATCCTCGTGCGGTAAGCAACCTCATCTGCTCAGTAAGCTCAGCTAGCTGTTGGGCCACCGTATCATTGCTTGTACTGACCTCGTTCACTAACGCCCTCCTCCCTCGAGTACTCATCTGCGACGAGTTAGTGCTCATCGTCTCAAATATTTCAAACATCTCCTTAGCTGTCTTTGCTCCAATATCCCCTCCTGCCGCATTGTCAACCATATACTGCAAGTTCTGGTGGAGGGAATCGTAGAAGCATTTCATAAGTAACCCCGGGAAGAGGTTGTGATGGGGGCACTGTCGTTGGAGATCCTTGAACCGCTCCCAAGCCTCGTGAAGAGACTCATTCGGTAATTGAGCAAATGAGACGATCTGGGACCGGAGCTCCTGAGTCTTTTGATGGGAGTAATACTTCCCTATGAACTTGGTGTACACTTCGGTCCATGTCATGAGAGAGCTAGGTGCAAGCGTCATGAACCAGGCCTTGGCCCGGTCCTTCAGTGTCTCAGGAAAGCACCTCAGCTTCAACTGCTCGTTATTAAGGTCATTGAGAGGGAAAGTGTTGAGGACATTGTAGAATTCTCGGATGAAGTTGAGTGGATCCTCGCTTGGTAGCCTGTGGAATGCCGCCAGCTGGTTGTAGTGGATCATTTTGAGCTCGTAGTTCCGTGTAGCATCCGGCAGACGAATGCATGAAGTGATTGGCCCAATAACCGGTTGGGCTAAGGTTCGGAGAGTGTTACGAGGCGGTTGTTGTTGCTGAGCCATATATGGTTTTTTTGGTTCGGGTGGTTCCAGGCTAAGCTTGTCAAACAGCTCCCTTACGCTCTCGTGACTTAGCTTGTCGTGTGATTCAAGGATACGACCACTCCTGGTACGCATACACAAAGACAAAAGAAACTGTCACGAGCACCAGATAGACAAAAAAGAAAAACTAAAGAAGAACAACCAAACAAAAACAAAAGCTATTAACACTAGAAACAAAGAGAAACACTAAAAACAAAATGAATAGGCGCACAATTAAAGTCCTAAACCGTCCCCGGCAACGGCGCCAATTTTTGTTGTCAGTATTTTTACCGAAGTAGAATCGAAATATTCATTCCCTGGGTCGTATCGCAAGGAAGGTTAGCCAGATTCAATTGCACGATTATTCAATCACGAAAAAGAAAAGAAAAATTCCTAAACACTCTATCCAATAATTTTGGGGGTTTCAGTTATCAACAAATATTTAAAACTAATGCAAACAAATCAATTTGTAAGTGAATAAGATCGATGAATAAAGAGCTAGGGAATCGGGAATAATTGCTTTCGGTTCTAACACAACTACCGACAGTCAATTGCTCGGTTAAAGGACTTGAATCGTTTCTCGTCCAGAGGTTTACTCTCAATAACTCTTCGTAACAAGAGAGTGAACGTACACGATCAACAATCAATTCCAACAACTCATAGACAATACTATTACGAACAAGTCTACTCTAAACAAGCCTATATCGACCAACGTCTCCCCTCTCGGTTATACACATTGATTTATTAGGTTAGAAAGGTGATCAATCTACTAACCCTAGAATAAGCACAACTTGAATAGATATGAACAATTAAGAACAAGTAATTATAATCGAACCTAATCAATCATCCCATATCCCTAGCGTATAGATTTAGCTACTCATATGGAATTCAACATCAAAATTCATATAAACCCAAGCCATCATCATCAATCA